GATTAAACAATCGCTTTCCAGGACAATTTGCTCAGGGTAGTGGAATTCAAGTCAAGATTTCAGACATGCCATTTCCTGTATCAAATGCGCAACAACTTAACCAAATTGTGTGGACAATGCTAGGCACTGCCACTAAGGTTTGTAAGCAAATTTATTATCTCTTTTTTTTACGTCAAATATTGCAATTTATTGCTAAAATTCTTCTCTACAGAATAATTTGAAAAAGATTGAACTGTTATTTAATCTTTTAGGAAACAATTTATTGTGTATCCGAAGCACCTGTATCACAATTACGCTTTGTTTGCGCAGATTGTTATCAAAAGAACATTACAGATATGGTTAATGTCTTAAGCAGTGCTCAAGACTTGACTCGTAGTGCTGGATTTCCCGTAAAACTTTTCCTTCACTCTTTATCATGACTAATTGCTAAACACCTTGATCTATATATTCACTGTATATTGCACAAGTCTTGTAATCCAATTAGTTCATAGTTTTTAAGAAAGTTGTATGCATATTAACGCCATTAAATCTTAATTGCAGTATTCTAATTGTAATAATTTTGAATTTAAATGTGAGTGATTATTAAAATACGTTATGCTTAGATCTATCATTCATGATCTAATAATTGTAATCTACTCTCTTAACTTTATGTCGATGGGAACATTCCCAGAGATCTCGAATTAGAATCAATCTCAATCATTTAATTAAAAAACCAAAATTTTAATTCATATCATACATAACTTTTTCAAGCTCTATGCAGTCAAAATGAAAGAGCTTTACCACAACTATACATTATTCGAAAAAATTTTCAGTCATTCAAAAAGAGTTAATAAATTACATTTATTTGATTTGTAGCTGCTAAACAATTAGTTTCTGAAAATTTAGAAGTTACCACTTATTATTTTCCGTGATATACCAGCATGCAATCTTTTTTGATCTTCTGAATATGTTCTAGACTGTAGCATTACGTGGTATACCAGTAAATACCAACTGGACCGGCGCAACAATTATGTGCCAGGCGGTACTAAATGGTGGCACTATAGATTCAGCTCCGGCTATAGTTGATGTTCGGTATCTTAAACAACCACACGTTGTAGATACCTCAGGCCAAGGGCCAGTATTGATTGCTAGTCAGGTGAAACTTTGTCATCTTCATGTCTTTTGATGAACTATGAATATGCTTGTAAACTGCTGTTGAGTTTTTGAAAGATAACTCTTTCGTGTTTAGGGTTACCGATTCTATGTGGAATGTATACGTACTAGTGATGGCTTATGTCAACAGAGTGGTCGACGAAAAACATTGCGTTGCGCTGTACAATCGCATCCACCAGCTACGGTATTCCGGTGGCTTAAGAATGGTGTAGTTATCAGGTTCGCATTTGATATTTGTTATAAATAAATAGTTTCATAAGTAGATTTTACCTAAAGATTATATTTTTTATCTCTCTAAAATTATAATTTAAAGAAAAAAAATGACTATATTGCTGGTGATTTTATTGTAGTGGTAATGGTGCTGATATAACAATTGGCACTGAAATGATCGGTCAGTCAATTCAGTGTTCTGCTAATAATGGCCTTTTTTCCGATAATGAAATGCCCACCTCACAAGCTGTACAAATTGATCCATACAGTTAAATTTAATATTTTTCATTTATGATTTTAAATACATGTTTGATACTGAAATTTTTTTCTTGCTAAATTTTATATAATTAGGGATAAACATAAAAAACATTTGTGAGAAATTAGAGTTTGTTAAAGACAGCTTACATAATGAAAAAATTTGCAGCATCAGCTCGCTTAGTACAAGATAATTTCCAAACAATGCAAAATGCTGCACCATTTCAAGCCGGTAATCGTATAGATATGAACCAACAGATCAATCTTGGTTGCCAGGTAGAGGGTAATCCGAGACCGGTTGTTTTCTGGAAGTTAAGGAAATCCAATGGTCAAGTAGTTGATGCCGCTTGTCCTCAGGGTTTTGAAGGCCAGTATCAAGAGGTGCCCTTAGATCAACGTAGTCCTTCTGGGCTTATTACTAATATTGTTCGTTAATTTGTCAATTTTATGAAATTAAATCGTTTATAGATATGAATAATAATTTGTGATTTAACGTTGTTGTAGCTATTATCTCATAAAATTTGAATATTTCAAAAATTATTATTTTCTTCAGTATTTACTGACTGCATTTCATTTGACTTCATTTGATATTTCAGCTTAAGCTATTACAGATAGTGATTTGTATTCCTTTTTTTTCAGCGCCTCAATGCTATTTGTTCACTACGAATAGCAAATTACACATTTTCTGGACAGTACTGGTGTGCTGCATGCTCGTTTGTTTCACAAGGTGCTCCAGAATGTTCACCTTCATTAGATTCACCTGGTAGCACATATTTAAATTTGCAAGTGCAAGGGCCACCAACGCAATCAGACAATCCGGCATCCATTCAAAAGGTTCAAACTTTTATTGAAAAATATTGTGCAGTGCTTCAGTTCAAATATTGATAATTAGAACCAAAAATGTTTCAAGTTAACTAAACTTACAAATTTTCTTAGAAAACATCCTAAAGTGCAATTTGAAAATATTTTTAAACTCATTTGCTTTAGCTACATTTATGTATTATTATTATTAAATGCTGTTAAATGAGTTAATCAAATGTCAAGTGTACCAAAATCACATTGTAAAGTTATTTTAACTTACAGCTTCATAATTCAAACAGCGTGATTGTTACTGTGCATTATTGCGCAGAACCGCCTCCTAAACTACCACGTGATGTCGTATTTTCTGTGGATCAAAATGAACTTCAAATCGGACAAACATGGCAAAATTTCCGATTTGAAGGCACTACTGAAAACAATACCGTACCAAATTGTCACTTAGCAAAATTACTCATTGCATCTGTGTCTGATTCAGATACCAATCGACAAGTTGTTCTAAAAGTACAAAATACATATGGTAGTAAGCAGTAGGTTTTGCTCTCAAATTATCGTGTAATAATTTTCATTTTTTTGCCTTTCTAAAAAAAAACATTTTTGAATGCTCAAATTGATTGGATTGAAAATCTAAATTTCAAGGTATGAAAAAAATGAGCCACTAAAATTTACAATTTATATGAATCTGAAAAGGTTCAGTAAAGTATTTGAACAATCTTATCATTTACTCTTTTGATCTTAAATTTTAAATTGTGAATTTCTTTGCATGAATTTGCTTTCCAATTATAGTATTCTGGTACCATTGGGCACATTATTTGGTGGTCAGTCATCTAATACTGCATCATTTCCTAGCTGGCTTATGGCACTCCTAATAATAATTGTTTTTGCTTCGTTACTATCATTGATAGTTATATTTTGCATTAAGAAGAATCTATTCTGTTTCAGAAGTAAGTTGAAATTATTGTTGGTGAAAAATGTATTTGAGATTTTTTAGTATAGCGTTTTTCAAAAAAAAAAAAAAACAATTTTTATGTTTATTGACTAGCTTGTTTGCAGTTTGTCAGAAATATTTAAAAAACTTGCAGATATATGCATCTAATTTATCGTTTGTAATTTTCAGGAGTAAAACCGATAGGAAATTCGATGGATGACAAAAAGAAGAAAACAAAGTAATTTATCAAGTCAAATCTACAAATTTGCAGTATTTGGGAAAATTCCAACACATTTTAAGCAACTAAAGAAGGATAATTCAAAAAAAAAAACAACAACTAATTCTTAAGAATGGAAGAATTTTCAAAAATGCTTACTTTATGCGATGATTTCATTTGTTAAGTTATAAACTTGAAATAATTCAATCATTCAGGTCTATTTTTCAGCATGCGTGAAATATACCGAGAAAGCGGCCCTCGGTCGCTATACCAAGCATCAGGCCAACCAGCCGAGGTAATACGAAGTGAAAGTAGGACTAACTCCGCTTATCATCTATATCTAAGCAAGGAGGCAGTTGTTTGATAACGTGTCCTCTTTCACTTCTTCTCCAGTACTAAAGAATAATAAGTTAATGCAATGATACCTCCGGAAGTTAACGAGAAATCAACTGCTAGCAAATGACATAATTTTTATTAAGTTTTGCATCTAGTGGATTGTTGGAAAAATATGAATAATCTTTATGTCAAGACTAAAAAATTCAACATGTTTGAGTGAAATTGCATTGATGTTTTCTTTTTTTTCTATTTCTCAGGTAGTAGTTGGAAAAGTTGTTGAAATATCAACAAGTTTCACCACTTAAAACAAAATTTCAGTGTCCGCTAGATTATGAGTCCGCGGTGCAAGCAGCTTATTGTGATTCTCGAATGTCTTCTGTTTAGTGTCTTTTCATTCTTCCACTTAAACAGGTCAAAAATTAAAACCTTTTTTTTTCACGTAAGTCATATATTTTCTAATTTGTTTAATTAATTTTTATTTTTGTCTGTTTTCATTTCAAAACTACAAATAGGAATTCGCGGCATTATAGGATATAAAAGTTTTATGTTACTTAATAGCAGTAGTTATACTTTGGATTTAGTTTTTACATAAAAAACTAAATGAGTAATTAGATAAAAGTTTTGAAATTTTTACTGAGTTTGTTTAGAAAGTGGCTTTCAGAATCTGGGTCAATCGCATTTATAATATTTATTATTGGCTGTGAACCAGTATGCTCAAGAAAATTTAAGAAATAAGTATGCCGCTTATAATACGGAATTTATTCACTTTTCTATCATTTTTTCACTTTCACACATCCATTTATTGTAAATTATTTTAAGTTTGCTGTTCTAGCTGCTAATTTGCTTCAAAATCAAATTCTTTTAAATTTTTTCCTTCTATTTTAGAAAGATTTAGGAGCAAATATTTTTGATAATTATTTGTCTATATAATACTACTATATTCGTAATTTGATAAGAATGAATTTTACTTGACCTTTTTCGTTGTACAGTGCTTATTTTTTATTGAATCATTACGCAAATGGCTGATTAACGTGGTGCCACTCTTTGTATTATCTCATTGTTATTTTTATTATAATTATTAAGTTTTGTATTATTTTTCTTTAATGGTGATATATGAAAACATGGGTGCAAGTTTTTTTTGGTAAACTAATTTGCATGACGATATCAAGTTCAACTTACCTCAAACTTTTACGGACGGTTGTACTTATCTAACATCCTAACGCTGCACAAATGTTTTGTTTTAACTTCATTTCAATTGTCACTTTTTTGTTTTAACATTGATTTTTCAGTTGAGAACTAATTGACAATTATTATGAATAGGAAAAAAAAATGAATTCCGAAAAGTTAATCCTACTTATCCTAACTTTAATTTCGAAGTTATATCCATTATAGATGAAAATCTTAATTGTTTCCTTGCAAATTGAATGTTATCATTCTGAAATGAATTGTATTAATGCATTTATTTGTCTTTATACTGTTATCTGTTTTTGATAGTTCGTTTGTTCCATATTGTAATATTTATACCACAGAGCTAAAATTAGACCAAGCTTCAATTTTTCGAGAAGTTTAAGAAAGCTGGAATTTATGGTTTCTCTTTATCTATTCGCTAAACATAGATCTCTACTTATTCTATGCATAGGAAAGCGTTGCTATCAACCTTTACAGAAATTTTTAGGATGGTTAATGTTTATAATAATTTGCTTCATTTTGCAGATTCGCAGATCTCAAACCATAAATCATATTCATTCAGTCACAAACTACCCTTTGTCGAGGATTTGATGACCTTTCCCAGAAATTTTCATAGATTTGATGGTTTCTCAACAAAAATTATACCAAATTGTGGAAAATCCTCCACCTTGCCGGAGAAATCATAAAAATCAAGAACAGTTCATCAGATCCTTGAAGTTGTATTTGTAATCAATGAGTACAATTGTTATCTTATGAAAACATGAGTTCACTTGCGTATTTTCCAGTTTTGCTTCGATATTTGTATATTGGTGATAAAAGTTCTCGATGACATCGAGATTGACATCAATTAGCTATCTAGAGAAACGGTTCAAAAATAATCAAAAGTTTCCTTGCGCTTTGAAAAACTAAGCAAGCACACAAGAATTGTATCAGACTAACTAACCCAATTTCTAATGCTACCTCCACAAATCTAAGATTTTAGGATATTCACGTCTTATGTTACATTATACATTATATGCACTCTTTTACAAGCACTTTGTATTGTATACCCGGAGATCAAGATCTAAGGTAGATGAGTCGTCGTTATGGAAAACAAGTACTCAATATTACAGATATTCAAGTAAGTACAGTATCAGAGACGACAAAACGTATCACATATTTCTCATATCGTGAATTACATAACACAGAAAAACTGGAATAGACGAGGATTCACCGAGATCAAGAACTAGAATTTATATAAGAACATCACTTCAACAAATGACAAATTTACACTTAATTAAAATGTATGATACTACTACATCTACAGACATCTAAAACGACGTAAAAAGAGAACCTCTAAACAAATGTACAGGGAAATATTTTTTCTTTATGTCAATGGTGGTTTTACAATAAAATACTTTCCCACCATTTAAATGTTACTGAATAGAAGTGAATTTCCCGCGATTGCGTGAAACAAATTCAATAACACATGATAACCTTCTAGTAACTTAGACTTGGAAAAAGTCTTTAAAAAGAAAAACCGAAAAAAGAAATCTACTCGAAATCTACAAAAATACTGATAAAAAGTAAAATATAGTATGTGCGAAAATTGCCACTACTAGATTCACACGAAAAAATGCATGAGCTAAACATGTTATTACAACGACCTAGAAATGCTTATTATTACTACAGATAGGCAAACTTATTGTATATTGATTTTTGATGATAATACAACTATTAATAGAATAAAATACTTGAAAATATGAAGATAATTTTAATGATTGAATCGAACTTTCTGAAATCCATTAATTGACCCGGAATGAATGGCAGGACAGAAACAAAAATTTTTGAGCTATGGAATAACCGATTTATAAACTGCGTCACTGCTGAAAATTTTATCAATGTCTTATAGCTTATTTTGAATTTCAGGAGATAACGCTGATCACTGAAACTGACCCTTAGACGGTTATTGCACAAACTTTGATTCAGCTACGACGCTACAAGTAATGTTGCCAATTTTATGATCACAGGTTTTAAAGTATTGTAAGCACAGAAATACCCATATGTCGGAGTGTTTCGAATTTAAATAACTGATAGAAACTGTTTTTCATTTTCGATAGCAGACAAACACCATGACATACTCTATACATTCGATGAAAATAATATTAAGGAGCTCCGATCGGTGCTGTCCAAGAAGAATCTAAATAACGTTCAAAATCTATTATAGGACGCATATCTTCAGGGCGTCGGCCAAGTTCTCTCCATGAACGAAGTGATCGTGAACACATAATACGCTGGTTCTCAGCTCGTCTTTGACGGGCAATACGATACGTCCTATAATCATCTTTTTTTTTTGCCCACACTAAACTTTATTATAATACACAATTACATTTTAAAAAATATCGTCTTTTATAAATATAAATAAACTGACGAATTTCGCTCACAAAGTATTTCCTTCCTAACAAAGTTTTGAATAATAATAGCAGTATATTATCCGTTCGAAATCTTAATGTAAAAAACTATGAAATAACCTTCGCAACCCTGCTGCAGCAGCAAAAAGTGAGCTGGTACCACTTAATATAATCAATATTGAACCAGTACCAGCTGTTACATGAGAGAATGAATTTGCTGAATGAACCAACAATCCCACAAACAAAGCTATTATACATGCTAATATTGCCAATATCACTGAAACCAAGCTTTTAACAGTTACAAATCACTTAAAAATTTCTTTCGAGAACATTATAACTTCTTTGGATAATGGAAAAAAGTACCCAAAAATTTCTGACTTTTTGATGAAAAATGGCTTACTACTGCTTATTTCCAAGATTGCATTCCGTCTTAACCATAAAGTGAATCCTGCTTGCAACGACATAATGCTCAAAATACACGCCAGAGTAGATTTTACGACAACGACAAAACAGAACGCAATTAGAATATAGAATAAATTTGCAATTAAAGGTGTGATGCAATCAACTAACACTGCAAAAAGATTTGAAAATCATAAAGTCAATCTGTTGTTTTGGAATGCTGCATTGGCAAGTAATTAAACAGTTCTAGACACAAAATTAGGCAATTCGATATTAATTAACAAGAAACTGGAACACGATGTTTACAAATGAATGAAAAATGATACCTATGCTTAATTAAATACATAAAAGCAACATTTAAAAAAATGAAGAACCTAAAGTTTGAAATTATAGAAATCACACAATTAAATTTTCAAAACTAAGAATAAAACATAACCTTTGCCATCGAAGTGATATGTTGTATGGTGATTACCTCCGACATCAACAAATGATCCAAACTTAGCGGAATGCCAAAAATGCCGAATACCGATTCTGCAATTTTTGTTTACTGCAAAATAAATTCTGCAAATTGAGCACTTATATATATAAGACCAGATGTTCAGAAACTTTTATCTAAATACTTTTATGACTAAAAAAAATTATCTGATTCAAGAAAAAAGTTAACGAGAAAACATCAATCATATTTTTTTCTTTTAATTGAAATCATTCTCACACATACCTTAAAAAAATGTCTAAAAATTTCAGACTAAATTTTAGTCTAACAGAGAGCACTTTCAATCAGATTTTCCTTTGCTCTAAAATTCATCAAAAACGCTGGATAGATTGCTTTAAAATGTTAATTTTATATAACTTTCATAAACTTATAAACTACATAACAATTTACATGCATACGTTACATGCTTTTTGAAAGCCCACAGCACTGCTAACTGATGTATGTATGAATCCTGTGAATTAGAAACAATATGCTAAATTCTAATCACAATATTCAAATCAAACTAGAGTAGCAAAACACAGTTAAACATCTAAAAAGTGACGAAATTTAAAGAAATAAACAAAACATCTCCATTCATGACAGTACTAGAGCTTAAATATTTCTTAGACAAAAAACTTGAAAACACAAATCGGAACTTTTTGCATCGACTAGCTTGAATAAACGGCGAAAAGTAGTTTCCAAAATCGCTGCTTAAAAGCGTGTCAGTTGACTGGTTTGTATTTCGAATTTTTTGGTCATTATTATCAATATTGATCCACACACTGTTGGACAAAGCACAAATTGCCTGAAGCATTAAATAATTTCATCAACAACAATGATAGCTCATGACTCCAAAAATTTGGAATAAGTCAACAAATACGCAACAGTCAGACAAAAAATTTTTGCACGATTAAAAGAAAAAACTGCAAAAAAGATTATTCAAGAGGACTACTAAAATTAAATACCACCATTAATAAGTAATTTAAAACTTGAAAGAAAAATTCATTTATACTGTGTTATTTTGTGCTAACTATGCCTTTTTTTGATACATGTAATGTAGAGTAAACATTCTACAAGTTTTTACAATTTGCAATCTTGTATTTTTGTAAAAAAAAATTAAGTTTTAAATTACTTTCATTTACCAAAACTACAGCCAGTAAATTGAATAATGCAGCAGGGAAGTTTGCTTCTGATGCATCAAAATACTTGCATTTGAATCCGATCAACATGAACTGAAATAAGTGTAGCTTCTGTATCCTACTGATAAAACAAAAAAGTGTTACTACAGAAATCTAAAAAGGAAGTAGATTGATCTTCAAATATTTCGTACGTTAGCCTAATTACTCTGAGAGAATTAAACATCAACTGCTAGCCAAGAAAGCAACACACACATTGTGACTTGTTACGATGAAAAACAAACATTTTAACAATCAGCTGCGACAAAATTTGACTGAAGACATGGTGAAACAATAAATCCCGATTTCTAAACTTCTCTAATTTGAAATATTTGCTTTAAAATTGATGAATCAAGTCGATTTCGAACATTTTGAGATTTTTTTTTGATTCAGGGAATTGTTTGAAATTGGTTGCGAAATTAAATATTTGATACTGATATGAAATATTCTTCAGAGTTACATTTTTAATTTTTCCAATTTCTATGTCAATTATTTTGGTTTGGTTATCAACTTCACAGTTTTCAATTATTATTGGCTGTCTTTATTTACTTCAGTCAGAAACTGATCTAGTACTTTTTGTTGGATGACATAAGAAACTAGAGAAAAAGAAAGATAATTCAGTAACTTCTGATGGAATGGTTTATTTCAGCTTGCAATCCTTGCTCAGTGCTAGTTCTTTTTACTTTGACACTTTTTCTAAATTTTTGACAAGGATAAGAATTAAAATATTCATATTGTTGTCATTTTTCGTTATATCTGTATACTTTTTTTTTGTTCTGAACTACTGACTTTTGAAGGCTTTAATGAAGACACAAATATGAGTAAACTATTGCTTGTTAAGAATGAATAATTATCATGCTAAATTTTTATTGCAACTTTAATTTTGCCCTTTTTTTTAAATTGACCATTTGTTGGTAAAGAATTAAGTGTACTATTGTGTTTATCATACTGCGGTGTTTATCAGAATTAATTGCTGCAATGTGTTAGATGAGTTTATTTTTATAATAACTGACTGTGGCTCGGATCGAAACATTGTAAAGTTCAAGGTAGAAGGGTAAAAGAGGAAGAGAGGAAAGGATTATTGATGTTCAGTGGAGGTTAAGATGTTTGCAAAAGTCATCATCATCACGGTACAATTTGCGCTTCATTTTGATTTGTAGGAGAGCAGAAGGAAGGAGCAAACGTAGGAAGACAGGAAATGATGCAAAGTTATATTATGAACAGTTACTTTCTACATTCATTTATCTTTTGTTTTTTTTTAAAGTTTTACTTTTAATTAATGAAAAATAAAAGACAAAATGTAAGAAATAACTGTAAAAAGAGTTAATTGATGGGTAGTGATGGATATCATTTTGTCGTTAAATTTCGTCCCTAACCCAATGTTTGTCTTTTTCGATACCATTTCATCAAAATGAGAAAATTATCGTAGTGTTAAATGTTATCTTAAACGAAGAAGGGTTTTAGTTAATTATCAACAAGGAGGTTGATGAGGAAGAAAGGTGGAGGAAAGATTGGAGGGGCAAAGGTAAGGACAACCTAATTTTTGTTTAACTAATGAAGAAAACAAGGTAAAAGAGGAGAACAGAAGAAAAATTGCATGTAAACTAAACTCAATCGGCACTATGTTTTGAGCAGGAATTTCTCGCTCCGAAACTAATAAACTGATCTACGCAGACAGCTTTTCTTGAGTAAATTTTCTAAAAATATTTGCCTCGGGGCTTATCACTTGATTTACCTCTACTACTACTGTTACTTCTTCCATTAACACTGATACTTTTAATAATAGCGGGATACTACTATTGACAGCTATGATACTTTCCATCACTATTACAATTACTAATACCATTACTAGTTTTATTGCTTTTGCTACTACTATCACTTTTTTCCCTTTCTTCTTTCTTCCATCTTATCATTATCTGCCTATCTATTTTTATCTATCCATACATCAATCCATTAATCTGTCTATCTATCTATCTATCTACTAAAATATGAGGTGGTATCTATCTGTCTATCCAATAAAAAAAACTATCAAAATAACTCAATCTCTTATGCTCAATCCCTTCTCATTGTAATATTCAAATTATTGTCTCTAAAAATAATAAATTGTTTCTATTATTCTTTTTTACCTCATATTTTTTCCATTCCCAAACATTTATTGTTTTGCCATATTTACAATAATGTTAAAGAAATTTCAAATCACTATTTCATGAATACATTGTGATGTCGATTAAAACACATTCTCGGCTATTTTGCTTCTTCATTTTTTATTACTTTAAAATTCATTTATTGTGGATATAGCATGAAATTAAACTTTTTCTGCTCATTCTTCTCCTTCTTTTTGATTTTATTCTCAACTTGCTTCTTTTTTGCCTCTAACTTTCCACAATTCACTACTTTTTTGTTTTCAGTTTTCAAAAAATACACATTCTGCAAGAATTATAATTAATAAAATGAAATAATTTTACTAATATACAATTATTTTGAAAAATAATTGCAAATATTGGTGGAAGAATCTAAAGATTTTTAAATCGTCTGTGAAAGATATGAAATGATAATGCATTAAAAAAAACAAGTAAATGGATGGAAATAATGATGACCATTAATGTTGCAATCTTTCCGTCATAAATTTAACATTTGAATTTGAGATTTCACTGCTCACCTCATACTAATAATATGTATGGTATATACAAAAGTAAGGTATTGAGCAGACCGTGAAACATGAAGAAATTTGAAATAGAGGTAAAATGAGCGGTAAAACGAAAACAGAAAGATTGAGGTCGACAAATTTTCGAGATTTTTCGCTGATCTCCTTATCTGCCCTAAACATTACACTAGTAGAAAGACGAAATATTTAACGAGAGACGAGTACCTTGGAAAGAGCCGGAGGGAATATTTTACTGAGAGGAAAAACTAGGCGACAAGAAGAGTTCAAGAATTAACAGGACGAGACAAAACCCCAATGATTGCGAGGTTTTACGGAACAACGAGGCGTTGGAAGAGTCGAAATTCCTCTAACACAAATGATTTAGAGCATGGTAGTAATAGTGGTAGTAGTAATAATTTTGGTAATAGTAATACTGTCTGTCACTGAAGATTTCCTATGATATCAAATATTACACATCGTTTACTCAAATTGCAAAAATTTCTTGACAAAATTTACAATGTATAGAATTTTCATACATCAGTTCATTTTCTAACTTTCCTATTTCTTGAAGCTCTGAAAAGGCAATAGAAACTTATTAATTTTTCCTTTGCAACAGGCCAAGTATAGCACAGACTTATCACTACTGAAATAAGCATAATTTTAAACTTATGATTCAATATGAAATTCAATCATTTAACAGAGTAGTAATTGGCTTCAAATAATGAGCAGTTAACTTCCATTCTTAACTTCTGTCCTGCGTTATCATTTTATCGTAATAGGCGTTTTTTTCTGTTTTCAAAATTTAATTATATCTGTTGAGTAATTAATCTCATCCATGAGAAGTTTTTGCTTTCTTCTCCTCAAAATATAAACTTTAAAAAATATTGTACAATTTTTTTTAATATTAAAAAAGTACGAGCGAAAAATAAAATAAAAATATGAAACTTAACACCAAATTGCACATGTAAGTATGAAAAAAAGAGAATAAAAATGAAAACATTATTCAACGAAAGGGCTCATTAAATGAATCGATAGTGCTTGGTAGATAAATACCTCTTCATGAGTGCGTTGTATTTGCCTTAAAATAATTTCTCTGGTACAAAAAATACAAAAATACAAAAAAAAAGATTGCAAATGAAAAAATATATAAGTTGTATTAAGACATTAAAAAGTAAACACTGATGTACAAAAAATTTCATACTCATTGAATTCTGTTCAAATATAGTTTGATATTAATTCCTTCAATAATTAATGTCAGATATGTCAAGTTCTTTCAACTTATGACTGCATCATTTGCTCTTGCAAAATATAAATAACACAAAAATATTAGCTGTTTTCATTTAATGCAGCTATAATATTCCATTGCATACTATCATCAACCAGTGATTTGGTAGAAAGATTTATGCAAACTTTCGTCAAAAATCTGTTAGTTTGCAAGTTTCATCTTCGATTATTAAACGCCGCTTATGTTCATTGCCTACAATTTTTTGTCTTTTCACAAGGAAAAAAAGTTCGGTGAAATGCACTCTAAACTCTGTCATATCATATAGCATCGTTTTCATGCATTACTTTTCTGCTGACATAAATCATTCATTCATTCATTCACTTATTCCTTTCCTTCTTCGTTTGTTTCAACTATGTTGTGAGATAATAAATATTTCGTGCAAGAATTGCTAACTGAGACGAAAACAAAAGAAATGCAAAAAAAGCATTATTAATAAGCCAAAGATTACTTTCTCTTTACCAATCGTTTTTTTGCCATTTTTTTTCACAATACTGTTCTTTTGCTATTTCTGTTTCAATCCAAAATGGCACACATTACTGTCCAAAAGTGTGGACAAAAAATGTTTGCTTAATAGGCATTATGCAAATTTATTCATTTTTATGCCACGTTAAGTGCATATAAAAATTACACTTTTCTAAATACATGACCTCACTAAAAATGGTCACAGAAAGGATATAAAAATTAAAGCAGTCAAATGATTTCCGCCCAATATTCGCTGCTTATTGTTTCACTTTAATGCAAAAACAATTACATCTCTTTGTCGTTTAATTTCTCTCACCTTACTTGTTTACTAATTAACATTATTAATCAACATATTTAATCAATCAATTAGTCAATTCATTCATCTTTGCCTTGTTAGTAGAACTGCTATATCATCTTTTACTTATCGTCATTATCGATAATATTAGTGCAATTTATTGTACGATATTTATCATTCATATTTGCTGCTGTTAGCACATGACTGCTTTCACTACTATTGCTTTTATCAATGTTAATGTCATTATTATTATTACCATCTATCGCCTTTGCTTCGATTTGCCAATCCTCATACTGACTGTACGTACTATATTTTTTCCTTTCCTTTTGTAACATTTAATGAAAATTTTGGCTCCTACCTCTTTAAAG